TATCAGGACGATTACTATGAAGGCCGATAAGGTCTGTCGGCGCACGACCGAAATTCGGAATAATTTACGCATATAACTATTACATTTGCTTTTATTTCTCTAGTACTATGTAAAATATTGAACTCAAATTTAAATCAGTGAAACGAGAATCAAAATCTTCATGATATGCCAAAATTTCATATAAATAGCATTAGAAACAGACTGTTGGTGTTGTGATTTTCAAAGTGTCGTTGGAATTGAGTTTGATGCAAATGACGTCGTCAAACGCGTAACCGGCGCACGGACATGTGATAAATTGTTTTGGATATGGTTTATATGCACAAGTTTATCTTTTAAAAAGATAGGTGAGCTAGCGCCGTAGGAAAGGAGGATCCGTGATCAAGTGATTTATTTTGCTGAATTCTTTCATTTTTATCGAGGCTGAAGAGTGATAAAGTTATAGTTGTTTTCTGAAGCGTATTTTGTAGACACATAGGTAAAGAAACGGGGGGTGGGGGGTGTGTGTTGACCTATTGGAGTTTTGGCGCAACGGAACATTTATGACCTTTACTGGAGAGGAGGGAGACCCTATATAATATGGAGAAGATTCCGATTGAGGCATTGTATGAGCTAGTTTAAGAATAGAATTTCTTGGCAATATAGCAAAGAAAATACAGGGGAGTTTGTTAAAAGGAATATAGAAAATAACTCAAAGTGTATGTTGTATAAAGCAATCCAGAAAGATATGAAGTAGCTTGGTCCTTTGGGTCATCTTTGTCAAGAAATGTTCTACTAGGTTAAAAGCCATACACATCAGATTTTTTTTTTATAAATAATGGATTTATTCGTTAATTTTAGTGTAAATTCTTGTTTCTGGAATTTGTAAGATTGGCTGAATTGACCAATAAGAAATTAGAGTCTATCTTTGGTTGTGCTTAGACGTAAAGAAAACCCTCCCTTGTCTTTGTTTAGAACATTTGAGGTATTACAAATATGTAGTTATCTTTAAAGTGTAAGCTACACAATAAATAAACATAATTATTTAATGCTACTGTACAACATGATACAACGAAATTGTTATCGTACGGTCTATCTATAGTAGTTTTCACAGTTTTCCGTGAAGCCGAGCATGCGTATTCAGGGAATTTGGACTAACGTAGTTGCTAGCGCTCGAGAGCGCTAGCAATCAGAGATGGGAGAAAAGAGTACAGAAGTGTCATTAGACACTAGAATTTAATAAAAATGTTATTTTTAGATGGCATGAGATTCAATTTCCTCTATACCGAAAATAGTTACAGCATGCAAGAAGTAGAGTACTGTTTGTTAAACGGAGACAATGGGGAACAATCTGGGCCACGAACGACGTCAAACAATGTGTATTCTTTGCTGCCTACAATGAGGTCTACGAACGTGCAAAGATCACATCTTCTCAGACCTCCCCGGGAGCTCTGAAAAACACGTTGTTTTGCCGAGAAATTTTAATTGCAGGTGTTTATAGCCAAAGAGAAAAAAAACCACAAAGTCAATCTTTTGATTAACATCCTTACTTAGAAGTGTATATACGACAATTTATAATTAACCATATCATTACAGTTATGTCATTGGTGAAAACATGTATCATTACCGATCGAAGAAAAACCTGAAAAGACTGATGAGACAGCTGCATGTAGCGTAGAAATATGAATAGGTACAGATATTATTTGCATTTCTGGAGAGAAAGTGATTTTCCCCCGATCTTTATACGTTAATTTTGTTTTTGTTAACGTATTGAACACACGTCATTATTCTTAACATTTGTCTTAATGTTATATCTGCTAGAGGTACTCTAACGGAACTTGATTTCTTCAGAGCAATTTGTGAAGAGTATCTGAATTCAGTAATATATCTTGAATAGATGTTACGCACTAATCGAAGATATTGAAAGCCTGAAAGTCATGAGAAACAATACACTTTTAAACCCATTATTTTCTGAAAAGGTTGCATTTACGCAGCTTTAACATGTTAGATAGTATCAAACTAGAAGTACCGGCCGTGACCAATAAGCTACAAAAAAAAATTATACCCCCGCCTCTCATATGGTTATACTTGCAAAGTTCCATGTTTTGCTCTGGGATACCCGAAATAAAAGTCAGACCAACAAATTAAAGTTATGAAGAATCTGTGAAAGTATTTTAAGACTTTTTCGCTGGTATAGGAGGAGCTTTGGATAAGAAATGGGTACCCTGCAATATATTATACAAAGAATGGTTGAGTACAAGTTTTGCTCTTGGAAAAAAGTAAAAGAGGAGGTCACAACGGCACTATGTAACAAAGATTCTGTGAAAGCGTCATTTAATTTCATTCATTTGTAAAAGAGAAGTACATCTAAATGCGGATAAGAGATGGGGTATCCCAGAGCGTAACAGATGGACGGACACCCCAATTCCATATATATACTTCTGAAGCAGATGGGATTATAAAAATGCCAAATGGATCGACGTCAAAAAGCCACAACACTCACCATGCAGAAAACTTCAGAACACTTTTGAACCTTTTTTTTTATCACAAGGAGTCAATATCAAACTTAAAGCAATAAGAGCTGCAAGATTGACATAGGAAAACATTGTTGCAAATTTGTTATAATTAACTATTTCAATGACAGAAATATAGAACATTTATAAATTTCTGTTGTTCTTATTTGCAAGAGAAGAACCTTTTACAAGCTTTAAGCAATATACCCTTATTGTCGTCTTGTACAATATTGATATCTTATATAATGCTATATATCTGATTGTACAGAAGTACTTCTTCTGAAACAATTTAAAATTTCATTTTAGTTTTATTGATCATAAGGGTTAAAATTACATATAAATTAATCATAATAACACATAATGTTGTTTATATTGACAGTCGTGTAGTTAATATTATTAACAAGAGGCCCAGGGGCCACATCGCTCACCTGAGCAAATCGGCTAGGAAAAAGCACAAATCAGATCAGAACTGAAAATTTTACTGGAGGGGGGGGGGGGTGCTTGAATTTTAATCCTACTTGGGAATGCCTTCATATTTAATACAGCATAATGACTTTGATGTTCTTGATAAAAAGATTTTTTAAAAACATGTTCTTCCTATATATAACTTCATAATAATTTGAATTTGATTCCCTATTGTTTCCCTCCCTACCCCAAAGGGCCATGATTTGAACAAATTTAAATCTTCAATACATGAGGATGCTTACATGTCAATATGACTAAACATAGCTTTTCTGTTCTTGGATTTTTTATCTTTATTTTTCTATGTAAAACTTTGATCCACCATTGTGGCCGCACCCTACCCTTGGTGGTTATGATTTGAACAAATTTAATTCTAAACTACCCGAAAATGCTTCCATATAAATACTAGTATCACTAATCATGGCTTTGCTATTCTTGAAAAGAAGATTTTTAAAAATATATTTTAATATAAAACCTGGATCCCCCATTGTGGCCCCATCCTATCCCTGGGGGCTATGATTTGAACAAACTAGAATCTACACTACATGAGGATGATTCCACATAAATATCACTAATCATGGCTTTGAAGTATTTGAGAAGACGATTTAAAAAAATTTCCCTATCTAGTCGTATGTAAAACTTTGATCGGCCATTTTTGCCCCACCCTACCCCCGGGGAGTATTATTTGAACAAACTTGAATCTACACTACCTGAGGAAGATTTCACATGAGTTTCATCAAAGTTGATCTTTTTTAAAGATTTTTCCTATATATTCCTATGTAAAACCAGTGGTTCATCTTTCCTGGCCCAGTTTCTTGAGAAGAAGATTTTTAAAGATTTTTCCTATATACTCCGATTAAAACTTTGAGAATAGAATTTTTAACGATTTTTCCTATATATTCCTATGTAAAACTTTGATCGGCCATTGTAGCCCCACCCTACTCCCGGGGATCATGATTTGAACAAACTTGAATCTCACTACCTGAGGATGATTCCACATGAGTTTCAATTTCTTGGCTCAGTGGTTTTTTGAGAAGAAGATTTTTAAAGATTTTTCCTATATACCCCTATGTAAAACTTTAATCGGCCATTGTGGCCCCAACCTACCCCCGGGGGGTCAAGATTTGAACTTCTTACAAGATGACAGATATACACAGACGGAATTAATGACCAAATTATCAAATGCATACTTCTTACAAGATGACAGATATACACAGACGGACAGAAAGATTCCGGGTAAAGTTTTCCCTTGGTTAAAGCATAGCGACTATATAAACTTGAAAAAAAAACTTTTCTGATATAATCAACATCCAATTGCAGGTTAATTTAAAATTTTATGAACACATCAATACCAATACATGCCACAGTAAGTAAAATATAATATCATATTGCTCCTGATCTATATCGAGGTAACCGCGTTCATGGCCTACATGTATGCATGCAGGCAATCGATACATAGTAAAATGATTAATATAATCTCAAATAAAACTCTTTTTCAAAGGTAAATACACAAATATAAAAGTCATTTCAAGGACAAAAATCCCTTTTCTTGAAGTTCTTGTAACCTTTACAAAAAGTCTTTTACCTATTACATATAATATGACTAATTATAAAAATATATAGAGAGAGTTTTATTCACCGGCTAAAATTGATATGAATTTACTGAACCCGATATCCTCGATTTGAAAACTAATGAAATAACCATTTGCCAAACAAGAAAATGTTCAACAACAATAAGGGATATTTTCACCAAATGAAGGCGATTTTCTTAGACTGGAAAGTGAATTAACCAATCAACGTTTATAGAAACTAGCGCGAGAAATGTAAAGATTCTCTTAATTATACAAAAGACCAAATCAGTCACTGAAAATATTTTTTATAAAAAGATATCATATAAAGACTATTTTATTAAATTGAGCCAATTAATTAAATCATTATTGGAGATAAGATTCATGGAAAATAGGAGCCCTTTCATAACAAAGAAAAATCTACACTTTATATTTTGTTAATATCTTGAAACATTCACATTAATTTTACATTTACAATTATATTGTTTCAAAAAATCATAGCAATTATACATCCTGCATTTATCTTTTAGCTATTTCCTATAAATAGTCTGAACAGTTGAGCATTACATTAAGAGTATACCAGGAATCTATGCACAAAATAACTATGTACGCTTAGAAAATTCCTATGATCTTCCTAAGATATTTCTACGAATTGTAGTTTTCAGATCCCCTGGTAAAGACCTGTTGTCAATATTATATTTCTCTGCATCCGAGGTAGACACTGGTCGCCAATCCTCCGAGGGCCTCAATGATGAACGGAGTTTCTGAAAAATATACTTATATGTTTAGTATAACATTTCAATAAAATCAAAATAACATTACTCAGACTTAGAACTCAAACTGTACGATTTAAATTTTATTTAAAGAAAACAGTTAACTTCTCTTGGAAAAAAAAGAATTATATGCCTTAGAGTGCACTGAAAGTGCACATCGTTTTCTCGTCAGTAAAATGGGTCATCATAATTTTCATAAAAAAAATATAACAAACATGTTATACAAAAAAGTTCATCAAATGACAAGATTTCTTGATTTGTTGGCCTTTGGGTCGTGCAAAATATGATCCTAATAAGATCTGATCTTTAAAAGGAAAATATCATTGATATAATCACGACTAATTTTCTGTCGCGAAAGAGAATTGTCAAGTGATGTAAAAAGCTGGCATACTTTGGTGATTTTTGGTTTCAATTTAATATTTCCCTTTTTACTATACCAAAAAGACATTAATCAACAATTGACTTTGTGGTGACTATATGTCATATATCATTCTTCAAGATATGATGATGTTATCATTTGACTAAAATAAAAAGGTGCCACGATATTTCGAATTTAAAACCAGAAATACTGTGAGCAATGAGCTCAATAAATGTCTCCAATATGGTTATAATATAGTTTTTAATCTGAGAGACCCGAAGGAAGTGTCAGATCAAAAAGTGAAATAGTAGGTACACAACGGCATAATGTTATAAAAAATCTGTGAAAGAATCATTAAATTTTGTTCAGTGGGATAGGATGGGTTGCAGATAAGAGAGGTGTACCCTTCATCCATGTTTTGCTCCGGGAAACCCAAAATATGTGTCGGATCAAAAAGTAAAATTAGAGATGCCTTATGGCACTATGTAACAAAACATCTGTGAAAGTCTCATGTAATTTCATTCAATGGTAAAAGAGGAGTAGCGAACAAGAGATGGGTACCCCAAAGCGTATACGTACAGACAGAGGCGTGGATATACAGACAGATGAACGGGCATCCCAATCATTTTATATACCCTCCCACATTTTCAAGAGGGGTATAATACATTTAACAACCTTCTTTTGGAAGTTCCTAGCACTCTTCGACACTTTACAAATATCCCCATTATAAAAACACAAATACAACAAAACAAAAGAGAAGGTTTTATGACTGTAGGTCTCGAGTATGCTATTTACATGTAAGATATGATCCGAATTACAAATTGACTACCGGTAGTTTAATCAAGAACTAAAATTTCGAAATAAATTTTGAGCAACCTGCATTGCATTTTTGTCTGGCACTACACCTAGATGCCTCAAGTAATCGTCTTCAGGTTTTGAGGTTTTAAACCCAGATGGTATTCAAGATGGAACCCTTACACAAATAGCTAATAAAGGGTCTATACGTGGAAGTCGTACTTGTATATCATCAAATCAATGTACAAAAATTAAAATGAATACCTCGTAAAAAGTTTCCCCCGGTGACTTCATCAGTACTCGTATTGCAAAGTAGGGTAGTGGAACAAGAGGAAGAACGGCAAAAAACCAGCCTATTGCCCGCGCATACGCCGGATATTCGTATGTGCCAACCATCGGCGGGCGGTATGTGTATAGCGAAGATATCAGTAAGAGCTACAAAAGAATAGGTTCTTATTAATATGTTTTTAAAAAATGCAGGTCTTTCTGTTAGAATTGCAAGCTTTTAAAATAAATATTAGAAGTCGACATTTAAATTCAAGCAAAATGTCATGTAGACATTCTGATCAGTATTCTAAATGTGTAAGGAAGGTGATTCCTTTTATAGTAAACAAATGTATACCAGTATTTACCGTATCTTCGATCCAAAAAAAAAAAACTGATGATTTTTTCAAATGAAAAAATGACTTGAAATATTAGTATATTTGATGTAAACATGGTTATAGCAAGAGACATATTAGCCTTGGCCTAAAAAATTGACAAACTTTACATTTTTTCAAGGAATTATATAACCATTAAAACACCAAAAAGAAAAAGGACAATTTTCTTAGACATTTGAATTAATTAAGTTTAATAAGTTATAATGAGAAAAATGTTTATAACTATTAGTATGTTACTTACCAATAGCAATACAGGTGTAAAGATACACCATAGGATCCTAATGTAAACTGGTACACCTCTGCCTAACATGATTTCTATATCACGTGACATGTTCTCCGCCCCTAAAATGGCCAGATATATATGTTAAAAAGTGCTATTAATATTCTTTGGACTAAACTACTTAGTATTTTTTTTATCTTTACACAAAATCACTCTGTAGTCAGTAAAATTTATAGCAAATAGTACCCAAACTACAAGTACAAAATCTTTCTTCTCAAGAGAATGTTTGCCAATTTTAATGTAAACAGAACCAACTCTAGCTCAAACACAGAACATCTATTGAAGTCTATTATCAATTGATTGTTACACTTTGGAAAACAATACCATAAATCCAACCGAAAATCACACATTCCAGGAAACCAAACAGGGGAAGAGCAAAGGCGGCTATATACCAATCCAGCAACTGGAAGATGTAGAGTCCAGCCTGAAATAATTCCAATGCTTAATTTTGTTGTTGTATGCGTAAAAAGAGACTTTTTTGATACATTATATTTCCTCCACAGTAAATACATGTAAAATGTTTGTTCTTACGCCAGTACACAATATCAGTCCAACCAAAAAGAAGAATAGACAGGATATGATTGACAGGAGCGCCTTGTGTTTTCTGAGACGAGGGATAACGTCACTGGCCGCGGTCATGCACGTCTCAAGGGGAGCGAACTAAGGAAAAATATCAACCATAAATAATTATCACAATTTAATGTAATCACTGGTAATGGTTTTGGCTTATAATACTTGTTTGATATCTAAAATTTTCTCAGTTAAATGTAAAATAAAAATTATACCTCATAATGATTAAATTTTACATCAACGCTATAGTATAGGTGTTTTGTTCGTGTTGATTTTTTCTGATCATAATTGACGATAATCTGTTTCATGCTACAGCGTAAGTTTAAAATACCTGACTGTCTAATCCAACGGTGAACAGCATCATAAAGAACACCACGCCCCAGAGATTTGGAAACGGAAGTTGGGAAAGAGCTTCCGGATAGACAAGAAAGGCAAGTCCAGGACCTTACAATAAAAAGCAGTAAATTTAAAGAAATTCATTTTCGTATATGCATAGGTTTATTTAAATTTCCTTATAAATGGCGCTTAAGATTCATAAACACTCTGCTCACTCATATAAAATGTTGCTTGAACCTTAACAATTTTCCAAAAGAAATGTATTTTACATGTAAAAAACAAACAACTAGTTTTAATTGTAACGGAGACCGTTACAGATGTTCCCCAAACGCTCCCCAAATCCCTTTTTGTGCCATTTTCCTGTACGACATTTTTAAAATATGCTCATTATCAAAGAATTTCATATAAGAATTATTAAAGCTACAATGATATCAACTATATTTTATTTAACTCATTGCACGCGCACGCACGTGCATGCACATGCAAGATGATCACAACATGTTGTTTTAACCATAAACATTTCTTTGTGTCGTGAGAATCAATAAGACAAATCATAAAAAATATAAATGTTACCATTTTTCAAATATATTGGTCATTTTGCATATTGTGCGCGTGCACTTGCATGCATGCTTGTCCTTGCATTCCATTTTGATAGTAGCATAATGTAGTAATCCATCATACCTATTCATATTCTAAATTTCATCCCGTTTTGTTGAGAAACAAGAAAGTTATAGGCATTTAAAGTTTCAGCCAATCAGATTGCAGCACATGTGCATGCGCATGCTTTTATGATAATTGTTATACATAATGCTGTAGATCTTCATTATGTATGACTATGTTCAAAATTTCAAAGGATTTTGTCAAAAAACAAGACAGATATTGAGAATTTAGTTTCAGCCAATCAGAGCAAAGCGCACGTGCATGCACGTGAGTTCTTGCTATTTTGACCATGTCATTATGTCTATACTACTAATATATCCTCACATTGTGAGTTTCAAAGCATTTCATCAAAAAAAATAGAAAAGTTGCGGTTATATATCTATTATATTGGTCATTTCACGTGTTGCACGTGCGCGCTCTTGCAAGCACGTGCGCGCAAAATGACCTTGATTCCGCAAATCTACATAACATGTCTACTGACCCTAAAAAGGTTTTACCTACATCGGATGAACAGTTTACAAGATCACTCCCGGACAAAAAAGTACCCAGGAAGAAGAAGAAGAAGAAGAAGAAAAATAATAATAATAATAAGAAACAGAGTAAAAACAATATGTTCCCCAACTTCGTTTGGGGAACATAATTATAGCATAGCTTGCGGTGCAAAATTGAGCAAAAAAGACTTTTCAAGTTGGCAAATCTATACAGGAATAATAGACATTTATGTCATTAAGAATTATCTTTCTTATCAGTGTATCGATGAACCTTAAATTGCATATATGCAAAAGTAACGTTAAATATTTTTTTTTATAAATTAACTAAAAGCTACAAAAGGCCTACATGTATTGTGGTGAATAATTATATATAAGGATGGCGTTTCCTTAGAGTTTATGGTGACAGTAACGGATTTCTATAAAGTTCAATGGCTTGAATTAAAAAGTGGAATATAAATAATTAAGAGTTCTCATCGGTCAAGATTTTAAATTTGTATGCCCGTCTGTTACGCTATGGCGAACCCATCTATTATCCGCAACTTCTCCTATACCACTGAATGAAATTTAATGGAACTTTCTAAGAATCTTTGTTCACGTACATAGTGCCATTGTGAACCTTCTATAAATTTACTTTTTAATCGGACACATATTTGAGTTTCCCAGACCAAAACAAGAACATGACCATTCTTTAATTCTATAATATTGAATGGTACCCATCTTCTATCTGCAACTCCTCCTATACCACTAAATAAAATTTAAAGAAATTTTCATAGATTCTTTATAACATAATGCTATTTAGCTTACTTTTTTAACTGACACTTAATTTTGGTCACCAAGAGCAAAACATGAACTTTGTCATTATATTTATATGGGAGGTGGGGGTATCAGTGAGCTCAGTGTTCGCAGTACCTCTGTTTCTTTCTACTATAATAAAGTATTTAAAATTATATACATGTGATTTTGTTAAAGAAATTAAATGTCTTAAATGGACCCTATTTTGCTTCGTGTTTTATACGTTTTTGCTTACCCGCTTGAACAACATCCTCAACTGGTTTCCCTGCCGTATGAGCCATGTATCCAACAATGGTAAATATTGCAAAACCTCCAAAAATACTGGTGCCCTCACTGATCAAGGTTAAGATTATGGAATCTCTGAAATCACATTGTCATGGGAAAGATTATACTTCATAAAATATACTATGTCAAACAAATCTGAAATAATATTGATAAATTTAAATGCTGAAAAAATATACAAATAAACGAAAACCTGCGTTATGGATGGCGCCATTTTGGACACTGAAGTTGGGCAGATTAGAAACCAAAACAGGTAAACTGATATTATTTTAAATGAAAAAAAATATAATATTAAATATAAAATATAGAGTAGTTGAACGGTAAAGCATTTATAGATGAGTTTCATATATTTTAACTAAATGAAGCATTTAAGATCGTAAATCAGTGACAAGGGCAACATGTACAGCTGTACATGAATTTGGTTAAATAATAATTTGCTATACATATATGTACATAAACATTTAAAAATTCCATGAAGCAAAATATTTATGTTGCAATTAATTGGTAACCTGTAACAATTATTGTGGAATTTGTTGTAACTGGCCATGGTAATGAGAGGTGAATTTGTAGTTCCAATATAAAATAACTTTCTTCATCACTGTATTTCAGTACATATAAATATGAGAAAATAAATAAACATTTTAAAATATTGAAAAATACCTTTTTTATTTACGTCCAAAAGTAAAAAAAAAATTTTTTGCAAAAATCAGATTATCAGACTGGAATTAACATTTAAGTCAGTTTGTCAACATGACAATGTGCACTTAGTAGGTGTGCTGAATAACAGTACTTTAAATACAAGCCAATTCTTATACACCATAAAGATAAATTTTCTTGTCGAAGAATAACACTTCCCCGCAAAATTGGTGGATTTAAGTGGTATGATACGAATATAAATAATAATGCCTTAACAATTACACAAAAACCCAAAAGCTTGTGTATGAGTATTTGTAATGTCATACTTTGGTAATATATTAACCAATTCCTACACAATTTTGTCTGGTTTTACTCTTTTACATACAGAAAAACCCAAGAGCTGGCCAGTATTAATCATGTATAATAACTAATACCACTATAATAGTGCCTGGTTTTAATCTTAAAATACAACCAAAGAGCTTCGGGGGGAAGGGGGGGGTGTTACTCACTTGGCCTCCAGCAGGGCTAGAATACCTGGGCCTTAGGCGGCCCCAACCTCTTGCCTAAACGAAGTTATACTCCCCAAATCCTGTATCATGGTATATAAATGATTAGTCTTTTAGAATCAATTGATCACGGTACGGGAAGACAAAGAAGAAAATAAATAATCTGTCCTTGATAATCTTGAAAATAAATAATCTGTCCTCGACAGGCATGAAAATAAATAATCCGTCTAAAAAAAAATTTGCCAGGCCCCCCCTCAGGATCAAATGGTCGTCCCCTTATACATTTGGAAAGTATGTATCATATGATTGTATTATTTCAAAGACAATGTGGCCATAAAGCGTAATATACGAGGGCTGTTCAATAAATAATGTCCTCAGTGCTAGGAAAGAAGCAAAAGACGCTTTTTAATGATTTAGTCTTTATGATTTAACATAATATTCTCTTTTAATTAAAACACATGTCCGTAACATTTTTATCCAATTTCTGATTGTTTTCACAACTCAGTTTTGGGTATGTATAGTGTAGTGAAGTGGAAAATGGCAGATCCTATGATTTCCTGGACTTGTTTCTTCCTTCTGAAAGGTGTTTTTTCAAGTTTGGAAAAAGAAACAAGTCATAAGGTTAAAGATCTGGCAAATATTGTTAATGTGAAAAAACATTAACTTTCTGTTTATCCCGAAAACTCCTTTACTCTTCAGGGCGTGCGGGTTTGGACGCTGTCATGAAGAAATTTAATGCAGTGGATTCCTGATTCTGGGTCCTTCCTCTAATAAACCTTTCGATTTTTTTGCAAAAAATTTGCTTTCTAGATTCCTTCAAAACTGTCTTCCCGAATACGAATTTGAACAACAATACCACTAATATTTAAGAAAATTGCATATAAATATGTCTTTGTGCTCTTGCAATTATTTGCTTTTGTCAGACTTTCGCTGTTTTTATCAAGTACATCTTAAGGTAAATTTTGTTTTGAGGGTTTTAAGCAATAGATTCAAGTTTCATTATCTGTTTGAATATCAAACAAACGTGCATAACTACAATTACTAATATTTTAAAATAATTGTTGAGGCATTCGTACGCGCTGTCGTTCTCACTCATTTTTCAAAATATATGGTGACGTTTGAAAACTAAGCTTTTTAACCGTCAAACGTTTCTAAAAAAAAAACTGTGTTAACTACTCCCGAATGATGTCTATCAAATTTGCTTTGTGTCTCAAAGTCAATCATACATTGTCATTTTTTTTTTGAAATTTGGCAAACAGTACATAAGTTGTTATAATTTTTTGTTGGCAAGGAGGGTACCCATTTTTGATGCCCATTATATAGTTTTTTTACCATTCAAATCCACCTGCTAATTTGTCTAAAAAACAGGCATTGGTTGCTGTAAATTTCACATATTTCAGTGAATGTTTCTTTGGGATTTTTAACAAGTTTTACAGCAGCTTTAATGAAGCTTTTATTTTCACTCTAGTTTACTGATTCTATACCATTCATTTATAATGCAGTGTCTCGAATAGCCCTTGTTTTCCAGCTTCTCACAATGAAACTATGTGATGAAAAGTGGTCACATAAACTGTTATAGATTCATTAAAGTTTCTATAATGAGAGAAAGCCAAGCTTAATGTCATATGATATCTGTATTGTATGTCATACAGTCCAGGACATTACTTATTGAACAGCCCTCGTATATGCTATGTTATAGAAACATAAAAATACACCACTCATTAAGAAATGAAAGGATTCAATTAGAATTTGTACATTGGACAAAAAATGGGTTGTGTAAATCCATTAATGAATTTCTTTATTACGTACATTATCATTAAACCATGCAATTTTTATTCGCGCGCGAAAAAAATATCTGCGAGTTACACTATCTTCTTTTGTCCGCGAATATTTCTCATCGTGTGAATATATTATTCAATTCTTTATCTATGCATAATGTTTTCCCATTCGCGGAAATGAATAGTAGCGGATGAATTACAGACAGGCGATTCGCGAATATGACGGGAATAATAGCTGGTTTACAGTATTTTTTCATCATACCTGGACATTTGCAAGCTTCTTGAAGTCTGGTTTAATGTAGAACAGAATACCATCGGTAGCACCAGGCAACGTCAAGCCCTTTATCAAGATCACAGTCAGCAACAGATACGGTAGGGTCGCCGTGACGTATACTACCTGTGTATGTCAATTAAGTCACTATTTTGCATATATTAAAATTAGATTTTTGTAATGCATTTTACAATTAAGACTTTGTAAAATAAAGGATTTAACATAAACAATTTACATTTTCTCCGGACAGATACTTCGAAGTTGGTTGAGAGAACAATTTATGCACAACTTTTCAATGGAACATATTCTAAGGTTAAAACTTTCTTAAGGGGGCTCTCTACAACGTCACAACATGGTGTACTTCCGTTGAAACGCCATTTTGGTCTCAAATGATCTGATTCAAATTCACTTTACACCGCTAAATCACTGAGTACAACACAACATGCGATATTGTGATGAAATGTACATTGTATCACCTCAGATAATACAGTGTTTGCCCAGTACGTATCCTTTCTTTAAAGATGAATTGTTTGTCAATTTATTCAATTCTACTTATTTAATTATTAAATAATATAGTTACAAATTATTAGAATAAGATTTTTAGGTGAGAAAAATGATATAAAAACATGGCTTGTCCGTATGCTAATTCATCATTACGTGTCAAAACGCCATACACTCCGAAATTTCTTTTTTCTTCAATAAACATATAAGCTTTCCAGCAAAACATATCCCCCGAAAATGCAAATTTGATAAGATAAGACATGTGTATTATCTTCCCATTAACTAGAGGATACGACACTCTGTTCAAGATTTGTATACACCCGAATGAATGGTTGTACTTGGTGAAATTTAAACTCTTCATGAAATCACCAAAACGTTTCGACAGTACGTGGAATTTTGCATGACCCAAACTTTTGATCAACATTGATTATCAGCTGTTTATATGGGAAACGTGCAGGTTTTAGACGAAGTGTGAATTTGGTTATAGGAATTTCTTTTACCCGCTTTTGGCCATTTACCATGTTTTGTTATATCTAGCACTGGATAACACATGCAAGTTGGATAAAAACGGTAAGTAAATCTACCTTTCTCAATACCATGAATTCACTAAATACATGTCTTTTTCATTGACTGGAAACGTGATTGTTTTCGTATAAACTCATTTGAAAAACAATACATGTACAATACGAACTTCTTTCAATGTCCTTGCTTGACATTTTTTTTTCAATACTTGTGCAAGTTATAGTAGAGTTTATTTGAAGGTTATAAAAAAAACAGTACCAAGATATTTGAGCCCACTCTGAAAGCGAATCTCTTACACCTGAATTTTTGTGATGTTTGAAGTTTTGACAGTTTTTCAATTTTGTTCAATTTCTTTTTTTTTCATTGTTTTTACCCTTTGATATTATATATCTTTTCAGATATTGGAGAAGATCCAACCAGCTATTCTCAAGAAAATACTGTTTTAGTTTTTCTTTTGTCTATTTTTGTAAATTTAAATAAAAATTATGTTGATTTTATTTTTAACTTTGTTGGTTATTATTTCAATATGTTATAACATTAAACTTTGAAGAGAAATTTAAAGCACTGGGCTTTTAAAAATATAGATAGAAGGGGTTTTAACAAAATAAATAAAATATTTTAAATATTTCTAAAAAATAAATTGAAATACTTTGGAACCTTATTTTATCGGATATGGGGCCTATTATTAGAAACAAATGCATGCAACAAAAATCAGTTATACTTTATAGGTGTAGAGATCCTCCTTCGTTCAGCAATTATATACTGTAGCTTAAATTTTCAGAGGGATATGAGACATGGCATTACATCATTGTAAGGTACGCTGTAGTATAACTGTATATGCTACATGGTAAATTAGTAATTAATAGCAGTGTTTTGTAAGTCTTATAGTTATTTTGACGACTTGTTGATAACCAGCACAACAAAAATTGAAGTCCATATAATAATATTGAAATTTTTAAAACAGGAAGAGCTACCTACCTTTCCCAGGGATTTGACGCCTTTAATCAGACACAAACAAACTACTATCCAGGCCACAATAAAACAGAGCAAAAGTCGCCAATTTAAGGATCCGATCTCATGAAGACCATCAGACAAATCAAGAACTCGATAGCTAAAAAATGAATACGATATACGTGAGTAAATTTCTAAGAAGTAATATTTCCCCGCCATTTTTTAGCGCTTAATTGACAGAAGGTAATATACAATTATTGCTGTTTTTTGAGGTCAATACAATGATTTAGCCATCTGAGGAGTACAATATTCACCGAGCCCGAAGGGCGAGGTGAATATTGTACTTCGAAGATGGCTAAATCGTTTTATTGCCTGAAAAAACAGCAATAATTGTTTTATTATGCTATTCACTGATAAAATGATACAGCTCATTACTTGTTTGGGTTTAAGTCCTAGCCAAGAGAGAAGCAGAATTAAAATTTAAATAAACCTTACCAGTCATATCAATTGGAAATGTTTTTTAATCTATTCTAATTGCCATGAAAAAAAGATATAATGTCAGTCTTTTTTATAGGATAGATTTTGAAAGGAAGGAGTATTATCAGGGAAAACTGACAGCCGAAAAAAGTAAAAATTGTTGTTCAGTAAAAGTGTTGGAGTGGGGTCCCTGCATCCCCTCTAACTATCCTCACCAGAAAATATATATTCGCTTATGTTTTGTTCGCATGAAAAAGTCATAGTCGTTTAAATAGATTTCCAAAACAATTTGTATCAATTTAGAATTTCCCAATATGTTGTTAGATCAATGTAGAGGAAATAAATCCTTGTATTCACCTGGAACGTCACGTGCAGGTAAATATAACATAGTATTTCTTCCACATAGTTGGATCTCAGCCAATCAGAAAGATAGGAATTATTCAATCATATAATAAAACGTATTATTGCTGAAAATTAATCTTCCAGAGCAATCAAACTATACACTTACAACCAGAATTGTTCCTCGCTAGTCGTACCCGTTCCTCTAGTTGTATTTAAAGCAACAGATTCTATTGAATAATTTGAGGTAGCTCGTGTGAATGATGCATTGTACAGTGTGATGTTATAAGTTGCTTCTGGCAGGCTGCGGATACAGTCCTGTGTATTCCACTCTTGATCACAACTTGACCAAGGAAGGGGGTTGAAAAAGGAACTTCCCATGTAGTAGAGTGTCCAGGTATTAATGATATTGTAGTAAAGTGTAATGACGAAAAGAACGAGGAACATTCCAACACCAATACCTAAAAAATCATCATTTACGTCACACATTTCAATTTAAGCACCGGGCAGTAAAATACATGACTAAATACATATAACGATAAAAAGTAGATTTTTCTCGTAAAAAATATTTTCAGTACTCGGATCAAGTAATATGGAAAGACATGTACAAAAATGGACTGATAAATTATATAGAGAGTTTATAATTGGCTTTCTTGGGTTTATGTTTAGGGGGCGTTGGTGCTTACCTTTGAAGAGTGGACACGCCTCCCACACATGGAAACAGCCTTTGCCAGTAAACTGTCCTAGAGAGACCTCAAGGAAGTAGAGAGGCAAACCACAGGCCAAGAGGAAGAACAAGAATGGAATCAGGAAAGCCCCTATAATACAATGAATATTAGTTTTGGTCAGACTATATAATTATATGAAATCAAGAACTAATCAGGAAAATGATGTTTTTGTCTCAAGAGATTAATAAATATAAAAGTAAGACCACTCTCCAGTATAACCATTTCATTTTTCTCTAATCTTAAACCTGAACACGACTCATAAATAGGCATTTTCGATTTATTGTTTGCTATATGGGCAAGTCGAGTACAATAACTAGATTTAGCTACGTAGGTAGAATGGAACTTTTAAAAAAAAATTCTTTTTATTAAAAAGAGACAAAAAATCGCAATTAAATAACTATTAATATTTATTCTAGGGAGGTTTAAAAAAAACAATCCAAAGCAGATATAGTTTATACATTGCCGGGTTTGGACAATTTGGATCAAAACATGTAATTCCATTGTTTGGGTAACTGTCCTCTCTATTGGGTGCGGTTAGGCATGGCTGAGTATGATTGTACTTCACATTGTGCTGAATAATTACCGACCTTTTATCATGTTAACCGGAACTGGACTTCTTTGTTATTTCATTCAAGGAGTAACTGTTCCAGCTGTCATACATTGCCCAAAAACTTTCAGAACTTTGATTGCAATTGCGCAGGAAAAGACATTTCTTTCATGAATTGCTTTCAGATGAGTTCAAAGTTGAAAATCATCACTGCAGCAAAATGAGATTTTCTGCACACCCTGAGAAAAATGCTTTTTTATTAAAATAAATTGATTTGGTAGCTAAATAAAGCTACCTGAGGAAGGTAAATAAAACTACGTAGGTAATTCTAACTACGTAGCTAAATCTAGTGATTGTACTAGACCTAATGAGCACCGGGGTATGCCATTCGAATTTGTTACATTTGACTGATTTATTGTCACGGAAATCGGTGTGGAATTACGACACGTGTTCGTGCTGGCTATCATACTTACCTTTGTTTACATTTTATTGCAGTTACTTGTATTTGTGTCTGTTTGTCTACAGCACTGACCTGTGCAACTGCTGCAAGTTTTATTGGTACAAGATGTATATCTTACTCTCCGGCATAACAGAAGTACACAATTATTTCTTATCTCTACCGCGTGCTGTAGCATCGACCAAGTCTACCAATGAAAACTGATTATACTGAACATTCATTTTGCTTATCGAGTGGTTTTATATAGGGGCCCTGAGATATAGCGAGAAACCAATCGAATATGGCAAACAAATTTCTTTTACGAGTCGTGTTCAGTTTAAATGTAAATGAACTTTAGTGAAAAGTGAGTTTCTGATATAATGAAGACGAGAGTTAAAAAAAAAGTAGAGAACATTTTGATAAACAATAAACATGTATGCTTATGATAGATTTCTTTGAGAGAAGTTTCATATATATATATCTATTAAAAATGAAATTTTCCGATCTATGGGAAATGTATTTTCACAAAAAATTGTCATAAAATGTGATGTTCTTAAATTAAATTGCATTCCTTTTTAGAATAACTTTTTTGCAAAGGTTATGCTCTAAATGTCTCTCGAGACTGCACCTATCGAATCAGATGCTTTGCGCATGCTCAAACTTACCTCCCCCGTTTCTCATACATAGATACGGAAATCTCCAGATATTTCCCAGCCCAACACAATAACCAACCATAGATAACATGTAGTCAAGTTTAGCTCCCCATCGGCCCCTTTCTATATCGCCTTCTGATTGGTCACTCTCTAGGTCCGATGAATCATGGCTTGCCTCCCTTGATTTAACGGTTTCTAGTTCCATCTTACAGTTATCTTCCTTAGAAAAAAGAAAATGCGTATGAAACTTCAAATAATAAAATACCAAATAAATTATTTTCTGGCTTTTAAATTAAACAGGACACGATCAAAGAGACTGGAATGGGTTGCACTGGTTTTAGATTTATGAGAACCCACCTACACGTAATTTATGCATGAATTGCTTTCTTTTCTTTAAAATGTAGAAAATGTAATTCTATAACTTAAAAGCGATTAGATTCAACCAAAAAATAAATCATCGAATTTCAAAAAAGAAAAGCGAAAAAATCACGAGATACTACAACGTTTTAAGTTCACGTTTTATATCAGCAAAGTCACGAAGATGGATTAAGTATCAAATATTTAATACGATAAAATTCAGCTTTAATTAAGTCACTGGGACTTCTAATTTAGCATCTTTAAAACGAAGATGGATTATGCATTATAATGGATCATGTACATGTAACTACAGTTAATTTGGGTTATAATTAAGGCAATAGGACCTTGAATTTTACTTCTTTAAATCCATACCAGGAGTAGAAAACTACTCATGCTAAGATATCCTTAAATAATAATCATAATGGCAGATATAATTTGTTTTATGTTTTCAAAAGACAGTTTCAGAAAAATAGATTGAAAAAATGCATCGTTCATTGAAAAAAAGTATAATATTGCAAAAATGTATAATATTGGGAAAATGTATAAATTTCATTCATTTTTATAAAAATAATCCATATGAACATGATGAATGAATATCAACTTACTCATTTCATGAATAAAGAAATATTTTATGACACTCGCATATCCAGAAAAATTCAATGTATCGATGTTCAAGATGCATGTACCGATATTCAGCCAATCCTAATACGATGATTAATTCGTCCATTTGATTTAAGTATAATCAAACATCAATAAGATTTTGTGTTCTTAAAATTCATTTTATTTTATACCTTACGGTACAAGAAATTTCCGCATGCAACTTCAGAAGTATTATCATCAGATGACGAGTTTGTTCGTCTGTCTGTCTGAGCAAATCGGCACTTTTTCCGTTTATTCATCTTACAGATGATAAAAAAAATGTATTGAAATATTTTCAACATATCTAACAATGTTAAGATCAACGATGTAGATTCTTTATGTTTCTGGTATATTGTAAAAACATAACGCAGGTTAAGTTAAGAAAGCATATAAATCATTTCTCGGGAAATGTAAAATTTTTAAAGAAAATAATTTGATAATTTATCAAAGCTGCTGATATAACATAAAAATTGATAAAATATTATTAACTATTGCATAAGACGGGGATTAATAACTTCAATGTATAACTAATACGAAGACTTATAAATAATATAGTTGAACAAGATGTGTTTGTGAGACACTGATGCTTCCGTATGGCAACCTAGCGAAGATTAAATTTTCTCAAGTGTAATTCAAACCTGTTGATACTCAAAGTAAGCCCTTTTCACAAGAAATACAAATGTGAAATATAAAATCCTATCACCACCTGTTCAAAAATTAGGGTCAAGGTTAACGTTTTAATGGTAGGTCATGCAGATCACATCCGTGCCATCCAAGGTGAGCTTGCACATAATATCAAATTTATATATGGAAATGATTATTTCATAACCACTATTCACACGAAAATGTAGTTAATCAAAATGAAGGATGTATGTGTATTAATATAATATCCGAGAAATGATAATAAATATAGATAAGTAATAAGTCTAATTTCAGAGTATATGACATAACAATCACAAAGTAAAAAGAACCAGCAAGCAAGCTAAGTCAGGAGAGGGGTATTAAATATCCAGCAGCAGTTATACACTGACCTGTCAGTGTCACGTGAACATGTTCTTTCAGGTAATTGTAGGAGCAGAACAAACAGCAGTTAAACACTAATCTGTATTTGAACTACATCCTAGTATCTGACTGTTTGTCGTAAGCAGAACAAATAGCAGTTAAACACTAATCTGTATTTGAACTACATCCAAGTATCTGACTGTTTGTCGTAAGCAGAACAAACAACAGTTAAACACTGACCTGAATTTGAACTACATCTGACTGTTTATCGTGAGTAGAGCACATGACAGTTAAACACTGAACTGCACTTAAATTACATTCTAGAATCTTACTATCCATTGGGAGTAGAACAAATCAGCAATTAAACATTGACCTGCATTTGAACAACATTCCTGAATCTGACTATCCATTTGGAGAACAAAACAGCAGTTAAACATTGACCTGCATTTGAACTACATTCTAGAATCTGAATATCCATTGGGAGAACAAAACAGAAGTTAAACATTGCCCTGTATTTGAACTGCATTCTAGAATCTGAATATCCACTGGGCGTAGAACAAATCAGCAGTTAAACACTGCATTTGAAGTATATTCTAGAATCTGACAATACATTGGGTCTAGAACAGAATTGGTTGAGGTCTAGTAATTTTAGCAAACTTAAAATTTGCAAATTCTACCCAGTGATGAGTGATAGTGCTACTTAACTAATCTTGAATTATTTCACTTTTTCTCTATATTTACATCCTTTAACTGTTGCTTCCAAATTGTAATTTAAAGATTTGTATTTAAAATTGAACAAAATATTAAACAACGGTTTTCCCAATAATACTTGCAAAACAACTGTTCCTCTTGAAACTGTAGAACCAAGAAAGTTGTTTGCATTAATTCCATGAAATATGCCCTTTTAAAGGAGGAACGTACCATGCGACTATTCAAGAAAGTATGAATAAGTTTTACCAGGTGAAGGATAAAATTATTTTGATCTTAAGCATTTAATGAACAGGATGTGAAATTTCTAGATTATTCTGAATTTTGCGAACAACACCTACAGGGAAATTGACCTTAACTTATTAAAACTGGAGAACTTAAGATGTGTAAAGGCCTATATATTCTTACTAAAGGCATGGTGCAAAGGTAATTAATTGAAGGGGTATAATAAGCCTATACCAAAGTCTATTTAAGCCATGATAAAATATTTTAACTTGCAAGATACATAACCCATAGTTTTATCTTGTAAGACAAATTCGCTCCCAATACATTCTGTTTTTTTTTTAATAAAGACACATTCCTTAATTTGTTTTATTAAAGGTACAATAGCCTTGATTCTGCAATTCCAGATCTCAGTCTGTGTGGAAACTACATTTGGTGACGTCAATAAAATAAAGCTCCATAGAATATTACAGCACTTTTCTTATGAATCTCTCTTCATGAATTATATGATAAATAATAAAGTTCATATCGGCAGAAAAATACTGATTCACAAAATGTATAATAAGGAATCAGGTAACATCTTGGATAATAACCCGCGCACATGTACCACCACACAAGTAAACAACAAAAAATAAAATCCACACGCACAAACGGCACTTTACAACATGGTCAATACTTTGTTGTTTTCTATTCTTTTGGAATTTCATCTCGACAGAAATCCAAGACACGTCCAGCTAAGTCAAACAATTACAGAAGGTGTAACAATTCTTCAAAATAGACGTGCCTCATCTTAGCGCTGGTCAATGTGCGAGTCTCAAAATACAACTTAATGACTCGCTGAGCTGCGACGTGACCATACACCTTCTATTTATATAATAGTGTTGCATTATGCATGTACTATGCCTAAATAGTAGGCAGGGTTTGACACATGGTGCACGAGCCGGAGGCGAGTGCACTATGTGTCAAACCCTGCCTACTATTTAGGCATAGTACATGCATAATGCAACACTATTGTTATTATTATGCTGACTGTTGTAATTATTTATGCGTCAATCCATTTGACTTTCCCTTGAAAATATCGGTGCTAACACGGCGCACTTGCAAGAACTCATTCAAAATCTTCATGCTAAAACTGGTTGCATGCTTAGTTATTTTGGTTACTAGTATTTTCTTTAAATAAGTCAGGATTTTCGGTTTAAAAGCAACTCATCTTTATTTTCTGTTTTTTTAGTAAGACTGATTTGTTTGCAGACGTCGATTCTCCCTTGATAATTTTCTTTTACATCCTTCAATCAAGCGTTATATAAAAAAGCGTTTTAATGACCCCATGGTATCAGTTCATTTAACGATCTGTATGTAATTAGTTTGAAACTTTGTTGTACACATTTATCTAAGGTCCCTTATAAAAATATAACTGTTTTCAAAAAATATTTTTCTATTTTCTCCTTCTTGTGTCAATTGTATAAATTAAGTTTATATATTTAATAAAATTCTCCCAGTCAATAATCGTCTCTGTGGCGTAATCGATAAGGCTTCAGACTGGCAACCTCATGGTCGTCAGTTCGATTACCGGCGTCAGCAACGAAGAATTTTATTCAGTAAATAAGGCCGTGCACTATTTCGGCATAGTATGCTTACGCTATATAAATCCTTAGACCACTATGCGAGAATAGTAGGGTATGGGTTATATAGAGACAAACTGGCAGGAAGCATAATAATACATGTAATCTATCACCCAAGGCGTGGATCTAAGAATTTTCACAATTTACTAAAATAAATCCTACTGGAACCTCCATATAAATTATCGCAATAAATACATAAATAAATTCATAATTATTCTAATGATTTTTTGGGGTAAATATCTACATGTTTTAATTATTCATTTTATATATTTATTGCGATTATTTATATGGAAGTTTCCAGTAGGATTTATTTTAGTAAACGACCGGTTCCCAGAAAAACGCGCTAAAAATAAAATGCCACCGTAATCAAATTTACTATTAACAACAGGATCTGATCACATGACTGACTTTATCTCAATGAAACTCTAAAATTGATATCTTATTTTTTAAATATCTGAATGTTTCGAATTCCTTAACACGCCTGCGAAGTGAATCCCTTATTTATTTCAAATTTATTAAAATCCATCATTTTTCATGTATATTTGATGCATAAAAAATGTAACCTTATACAATAACCTTGCAAAAACAGGTCTTCTTACTGGTTTTAAATTTATCAAAAAGGTAAAAATATATATTAATGTGTTTATCGTTCACAGATTTGCTTCATAA